GCGGAAGGAATTACAATTAAAAATAGAAGAGTCATTACAATTTAAACTTGGTTGAAGTGAGACCAAAGATCTACCAATGGATCTTGTGCAAGACTTTGATCCTCTCACTTTTGCCAACTCAGCTTGGCTCTCTTCATTTATTTTTGCATGGAGAGCACATTTATTTAAAAAAAAAGTGCATTCAGTGAGGTGGTAAACTTTTTTAATGCAATCCACCTCTCCCTTGAAGATGCCCTAAGTACAAATTTGTCGCTTTTTAATGAATAACTTGATAATGATCGTTAAAGTTATTTCATCAAACATTGAGTCCGGTTTTCCCCTAGATACCGACCATTGGTTGAGTTTGGGCGGTCTATAATAATGATCGATGTTTGAAAAGTTGGAGGAATGTAAACGACTCAGATCTGATTGGGGATTCGAGTCCTATACACCTTCATGATCCGGTTTTGGACAATTTCTTGATCATTATAGCTTGGAAAACTATGCTTAAACAACAAAAATACGAACTTTAACTATCTGTTTTTGGGTACGTATAAACTACCTAGAATTAAACGTACTGTGTCTACTCTAGTTTTGGTTCAGGACCCAGAATTTGATTAAGTTTTGGGATGTAAAACATACAACTCTAGCTCTAGTCTCGACAAGACTATGTCTAAAACTCATCACGACAAATACTAAATTATGTTTGCACCAGCTTTGAAATATCTCTCCTAAAATAGTGTTTGTATTCATTGATTCTTCAATATGATATGAGGAATTCTAGTATAATCTTTAATTTTATATATAAAAGATTATTGTACTGCTTTTGTCATGCAAGAGTAGGGATGGACTAGGTCCGGGCGGCCCGACCAAGGACCGACCTGGAACTGGTACTACTAGTACCTCCAATACCCAGACCGGTGGTTATAAGGGGCGGGCTTCGGGCTTGATTTTTTGGATCCAAGCCTGAGCCGGACCCAGGCTCGATATTGTTTGGGCCTAGACCGGAACGGGTACCAAAGCATATCGGGCCGATACCGGGCTCCACTTTTCCAAAACCGGTACCACCAACCTGGCCCGACCCGAGTCATCCCTATACAAGAGTACTTAACATATTTTCTTAGATGTAAACCTCGATGGGTACTTCAAAATTGTACCACGTATTACTTATTTGAAAGGTAAATATGAAATACGTAATAAAAGAGATTATAGTCTTGAAAAGTCTTCTTGTTACAGCATAAAAATCCTCATATATTGGAGATTATAAAAATCCTTTAAACTGTTGAAAATATCTTGCTTAAAAGTTAAAACCATGTTAAACTGCTTTTAAAAATCCCAAAGGAATACATTGACTAGTTTTACTAATATGGATTTAAAATCGATTTTTTGAAGACCCCTTCTGCCCTCTGCATTCATTTGCAGACGCTTTTCAGCCAGTTGGTGCAAGAACTCACGTTTCTTGGTAGGTAAAAAATTATTGCTTGTCAATATGATATGTTTTTCAAAAACAGCTCTATACAAAAAACATAACACTAGCATGATCTTAAAAATGATAGTTTGTCTGCTAAGACTAGAAAAGTTTCTGGCTTCATTCTTTAGAGACTGCTGGCAATCCTTCCTTAAACCAGGCATAGAGCCCTCCATCCAAATGGTAAACTTTGGTATAACCTTTGAGAACCAGCAAGTAGGCCGCAATTAGTGACCTGCACAGAGGTAGTAGAAGAGTAAGTAATCACTTATAGTGACCTGGGATTAAACATGAATTAATCTGAGTAGCTTTCAAGAAAAGGAAAAAAAAAAAGAGAGGGGGACTGTGGAACCTTGACTGCTGGCCTTCTGGGAGATTTTGAGATGGCTTCATTGTACCTCCAGATGAGCAAGCCACAATGATTTTTGCATCCTTATCTAACTTAGATTCCACAGCTGCTTGCATTTATCAGATACTCTGTTAGAAACTTAATTGAAATACTCCACTTTTCATCCACACTCCACACGGACACAGTACATTTCACCTTTGGTCCCTAACTTTCATCTTTTTCGCACTTTTGATGCACAACTATCAATTTCTTTTTACTTTTCAGACCTTATTTTATTACTATTCCAGCAAAAAATTAGTTAGATAATGCATGTAAATTGGATATATATGTTAAGTTATTCCATACCAGCTACAACTAAATAAGGTTAATATTTTAGGATCTTTCAGAATAAAGGAAACTACGAAGTTTAGGAAAATTCCTCGTATTAGGGTGACCGATGGAACCCTAAATCTAATTATCTAAACATGATAATGACCTGAGAGTCAACTAAATTCAAAGGAGCAACTGATTCAACTAAGACCAAAGTAGATCACATGAATTTAACGATTGGTCTATTGCAACAAACCAATAATCAAGTACCAAAGTTGGAAAAATACATTACAAGAGGATAAAGTGAAATTAATCTAATAAACGTGTGGCTAAAAAGTGGAATATATTAAAACATATAAGTTGTTAAGCTAGTAGGCACACATAAGACATAAGGTGAAGAACACACACACACACAGATTTGATGCCTATGTAGTAGAGTATTACTCTGAAGAAAGTTGGGATTTTCTTCTGTTCCTTGGAATATGCCGAAAAAGGCAAATGCTGCTCTTCTTGCAATGTCCCAAGCTGTCCATTCCTTTATCAGCCTATATATTTCCACATTGATAGCTCCTGGTGGGTGCGCCTAAAAAAATACACTATTGAATCCATTAGGGCTTCACTTGGAGCAAACCAATTTAAAGGCCGTTGAGTGAGGATTGTATGGAACTGAATCTGTTTAATTTTCTGAAAGGAAACGAGTAAATAATATAATGAGTACTACCTCCATCCCGGATGAAGGTTCTAAATAAACAATGACACAGTTTTTTAGATAATAATGAAATAAGTTAATTTTAAGATTTTGAGAAGTAGTTTGGGGTGGATATACATAGTACGTAGTATAATACAATGGGTAATTGACGATGATTGTAATGTTATGAACATATTATTTTTAATATGTGATGATTAAGTTGTCCGTTAAAAGTGTTACTTATTTCCTAAAAAAGAAACTAGAACCTTTAAATGAGCCATCAAAAATAGGCAAGTGTGAACCTTTACTTGGAATGGGGGAGTACATTTTTAGCCAAGTGAACAAATCAATTTGTGCAAAATGAGCCAATTTCAGCTACCAAACCAGAGAATCCATATCACCCTTAATTTTGAGTTTGAGCTGACCCCAAACACTACCCTCAGCACTATACCAATTGTGATCATCACATATCACAATGAGCATTATAAAACCAAATTAAACACAGATAGTTATTTCATTGATTCACCACTCAGAAGCTGCAGAGAAATTCCGAGGATTTGGCTGACCTCATTGAACTCTGCTTCTGGCCGCACATCAAGAATCACAAAGCTGTTTTCGTTTTGAAGTCTCAATGCTTCCTTTGGATCTACGCTCCTCACTCTTTTCTCCACCAGTTTTGCTCTCTTAATTGACCAGTCTTCTTCAGCTATGATTCCATCAGAAAATCATACGCAGTAATAACGAACAAATTCAAATCCGAACCGAAGCTATTGCATGTATGTTTTGAATCTATAATGGCAAATACCTGGTGATTTGGAAGGTTTGGTTGCTGCGCCTCTAATCGCAAGGCGAGGAGCAGGAAAATAGGTCAAAGATTGCCGCCTCTTTGGGGAACTCGCGTATCTCGCCGCAGTTAAGCGCCAGGTTACTGCTTCTTCCTTTACCGCGACTGAACAATGGCTATGTGATATACGCTGAAAATTATGCCCCATGAAAGCAGAAGAGCATGAACTGGGGTGTGTCACTGATGTGCAAGCGTCCATTTTCTCTGTTCTTCAAATGGAGGAAGCAATTTCTGGAGACAAAATCCAAAGAAATACTGTAATTGGCTTTGTTTCTGCATTTCTTTCGGTGGGGGTAATATTGTAATAAGAAAAAAGAGGGTATGAAATGTGATAATTTATCTCCATCGAAATCTGAGCAGGTGGTGCTGCTGCTTTGCACCCTGCTTCCCTCATCTATCTTTATCTAGTGGTGAGATGAGATGGACCAGTGGACAATGGTAGATTGGTCTCAAACTCCCATTCTTTCAAAAATGGTAAAGTGAAGTAAAATTGATTCAAAAAAAAAATTATTGAGATTTAAATATAATAAAATGAAGTGATATAAATCACATAAGGTTGTCTATATTGAGAATTTTGAGAAGAAATATAATCATTTACATTGTCACAGATTTCTGGTGATCACTTCTGTATGATCAATAGATGGATGAACGCTACATATAATTCTATGGAGAGTGAAGACTTCATACGATCAGAAATTACCAAAAGACCTGACAAATAATCAAACTATTAGTATTGCACAATAAGGCCTTTGAATAGAAAGATTATACAAATATGTCCCTTCAACTCATTGAAATCAATTTGATCTTTTTTGAACTACTGATATGACAAGATGGTAACTTCCACGTGTGAAGTTACCAACATCAATAAGTAAAAAGATCGAAACGTCTTTATTTCAATAGGTTGAGCCATTTATTTGCTAGTTCTTTTGGTTCAAGAGTCTGTTGCAAAATCCCTAGTAGCTTGAACGCTTATTTACCTCTTTTTCTTGAAATTATATTACTAGTATTATAAGAATAAATTAGGTATTTAAATTAAACTTACTTATTAATTAATAGTCAATTTGATGGTTGTAATAAGTAAAATTGGGCCTCTAAATAATAGGTCCATAATAATAAGCTTAATCTATTGTCACTTCGACTTAGTTTTAAAATGTTTTTATTTACACTGTTCTCAGTTCTACACCAGCCTAAATCGGACTAGAACAATCTCTATAAGCAATCATATTAGACTTCAATAATTATTAAATAAACTAAGACCAAATCAAACTTAAATAAACTATATCAAAAAAATTGTACTCCAATTGAAAACATGCTTAACTTGTGAGGTCACAACGCACACGATCCTTTGGCGCCAAACTCCGTCTTCCCGCGAAATAAACAGCGCGCTAAGCCGGTACGATATTTGGTTCACGAGTTTTCTGTTTTTTTATATACGGGTTCATTTCGGGGGTGCATGCCACTCTCTTTTTCTCACCCCCGCCAGCTACACACACTTCATCTTCCGCACCAGACCTCACATTTCCGCGACAATGGAGGCTTCACCGACATCAATGGTGCTTAGAAAGAGAACCCAAGCTTCGAATCCGTTTTACCCGAACTTATCGCCCGGAAAAAGGTCCAGATCGGATGCAGGTGAAGGAGACGATTTCGGTGATGTGTGTTGTGAGGAATGTGGGTCCGGCGATCGAGGATCTGAGCTTTTGCTCTGCGATAAGTGCGATCGAGGGTTTCACCTGTTTTGCCTCCGCCCAATCCTCGCTGCCGTACCCAAGGGCTCGTGGTTCTGCACATCCTGCTCCAACTATAGAAATGTCACGAGTAGGGTTTCCTTAATTTTCCCCATTATTGCTTTTTTAATTTGTTTAATATGAATGTTGTGTTTTTGCTCTCTGGGTATTTCTGTAAACTGAATTTCCTTGATTATTAGACCGAATACTCTCCTTTTATTGTGAAACTTACTGTATTGAGCCTTTCGAGGTTAGATCTTGTTTCTTCTGTAGGTGATTATGTGAGATTTGTCAGTTCAACAGCTGAATTTAGCTATAAATTTTAGGTCTACTGCCTTAATTTTGCTTAGTGATTTTGTGCATTTTGAGGGACACTTGATATTGCATTTGTGTATCTTTTATAAAAGGCTATGTTGCTTATAAAAAATCTAGAAATTGTACTAGGCATTAGCACTCTCTTTTTCATGTTTATTCATCTAATAAGTAACTCACTATGCATTATTGGAAATGCAGAATTTCCCCTCATTCAGACTAAGATTGTTGACTTCTTCCGTATCCAGAGATCGTTGAATGCTACAGAAAAGCTTAGTGCAGGTAAAGTGGAAGCAGAATGCTGCCTCTTCCCTCCTTTCGTCTCTTTTTGACTTTTGACTATTACTTTCTTTAGTGTCTCAACTCTACTTTGGATATTTTTTCTTAGTCTGCCAAAAGAGGCGAAGGAGAATTAGTAGCTTGGCAGTGTCTAAGAAGAAGAGAAAATTACTGGCATTCAATCCTACCGATGAGCCTAGTAGGAGACTTGAGCAAATGGCATCGCTAGCAACAGCATTAACTGCATCTGCAGCCCAGTTTAGTAATGAACTCACTTATATGCCAGGCATGGCACCTAGGAATGTGAATAGGGCTGCACTTGAGCAAGGTGGTATGCAGGTATTTTGACTTGATCAAGAATGTTCATTACATAATAATCCTTAATCTTGTTGTCTGGTGCTTTTGTAACATGAAAGTGCACAATGGAATGGAAATACAATGTCATGGAAAGTCATTTCTGTGCGTTGTATCTCCCGCACAGCTTCGTTAAAAGAACAAATGATTAAAGATTTATATGGAATGCAATTTCAGGTAATGACTAAAGAAGATGCAGAAACTTTGAATTTGTGCAAGAAAATGATGGAAAGAGGCGAATGCCCGCCTCTTATGGTGGCCTTTGACCCCAAAGAAGGGTGAGCATAGCTAGACACTTGCAGTTATTTCATTAGTCTACATCATTATGCAACATTCTCTTAGCTAGAATCTGTTAATCATTTATCCATACCGACAGGTTTACTGTTGAAGCTGATAGATTCATAAGAGATCTAACCATAATAACTGAGTATGTTGGAGATGTTGATTACTTGAAAAATCGACAAAACGATGATGGTGATAGCATGATGACTCTACTCTCCACTGCGGATCCGTCAGAATGCCTTGTCATCTGTCCAGATAAGCGAAGCAACATAGCTCGCTTCATCAATGGCATCAACAACCATACCCCGTAAGTTCGTCCATTTAGCCTATGTTTGGAACACACATAACTGTAGGGAAAGGGAAAACACCCGTAGAGAAGTCTTTTTTGTAGAGTTTACCTTTACATACTCCGTATATACAAAGGAAAACCATATCACATATAAAAGATTAGCATTGTGCATATGGTAAGATTCCTCAGTCGTTATATAATATGTTTATGTATTAGAATGATTATCCCCCCCCCCCATTTTCCTTCCAACTTCCCTTTTTATTTTTCCCTATTCTCTATTTTATGTGGTAAACGTTGCAATGCAGGGAAGGAAGGAAAAAGCAGAATGTGAAATGTGTGAGGTTCAACGTAAATGGTGAAAGTCGTGTTTTGTTGATAGCAACCAGAGACATCCGAAAGGGGGAACGGCTATATTATGATTACAATGGATATGAGAATGAATATCCAACTGAGCATTTTGTTTAACTGACCTCATAACATAAAAAGAAAATATTTTGTGTAGGGCTTTGACCTCATGCTTAAGTTAATTGCTGAAGATGTCACCATCTGTCATCATGTATACCAACAAGCATCAATGTAAAATTTTGATCTCTAACTCCTTCCCTTCATGAATTGAATTGAAAATATACGATGTCTTTGTATGTGCTTGGTCAAATATGTAATCTAAGTTGTAAATCAGATTTTCATAACCACAAAAGTTAAACCATTACAACATTAGATATTTAAGCTGTGTTTACTTGGATGGGAAAATCCTTTTCTTTTAATAACATATGGAAGCTTTAGAATGGTTGATTTTTGAATGAACAATGGAGGGGGTTGGGAGCCCCTCCCCAAGCTGTTAGCTAGAAATGCAGCCCACCATGATGCATATAGCTAAAGTCTGCATGCCATTCCAATATTTGTCATTATGTACCCTCTACAAACCCCACAAACTGGTAATCATTACTCACAAGTTATATGCCTCAGCTGATGTGAGCCTCTTATCGAAAACTATATGAGTCATATAATTTGTGTGATCGTATCATTATCATGAGAAAAATTCCCAATCTAGGAGCAAAATGTAGGAAATATGCCAAAATATGAATCCTGTGCCTCATCTAAGTTTCATATGAAATTTATTAGTAATAGACAGTAATGCCCTTAATAAAACAAAGTTGGAGATTTTCATTTTCTAAAAGACACGCGCGAGATGTGATGGTAACTGCTTATCTAGCCAACCGAATTTTTTTGAAAAAAAAAATAGCAAACCTTCTTTAGTTCGCAGACCACTTCAATGGTTCAACCCCTTCAAGGCGTGTAAATGAAGAGGATAAACAAAAATGTATAACCATGATGAAAACTCAAATTATTTTTAACCAAAAAATGCTTCGCGAAGGAGATAACAAGAAGTACGACTTCGCGAGAACAAGAAGAAGTCATGTCTAATTCTGACTTTGAATCAAATGGACAAAAAATCAAAATCTACTGAAAAGTGGTACATTGTAATTAGTAATCACTATCAAACAAATATAATAGTGAATTTGTGATGCTAAACATGTCGATATTTATTACAATATTTACAAGAACTGAATGCATATTGGTAATAGAAGTTGTCTTTGTAATTGAAGGTTTTTTGTATGTGATGCGATAAATATGTCGCTATTTGTATTTATTGTGCAGCAATGTATCAACGACATTAGTTTGGGAGAGTTATTGTTATTTCATATTTTAATAGGAATACCATGTGTTAAAACTACCTGAATTAGGGAAAAAAGTACCAAATTTTAGGATGGCCAAATGTGTATGTAATAACAAAATGAAAGGTGTCCTAATAATGTGATGTGTTAGACTACTTGAATTAAGGAAAAAGTGCCAAAACTTAGTGTTGTCAAATTTGTAATGACTAATTAGGGGGAAAAGTGTCAAATCTTACTGTTGCCAAATGTGTAATGACAGAATGAAAGTGTTTATAACAATACCATGTGTTATAGTAATGTAATGGTTGAATGAAACTTTTGATAATAATGTCATTTGTTATACTACAACAATTAGTGCAAAAGGTGAAAAAGATTATTATTTCCAAATGTGTATTGACATAATAGATGTTAAGATGTTTTTACTTGGACTGTAATTTGCTGGTCTGGTCTGGTCTGAACTGGTCTGGTCTGGTCTGGTAAGGTCTTGTTTCTTTGTATTTTTATAACTATCCAAGTCTGGTCTGGTCTGGTCTGGTCTGGTCTGGGGCAAATTACAGTCCAAGTAAAAACATCCTTAGAGTACATAAGATTTCCAAAGTATGATTACAATATGGGAATATAACTTATTAACACATTGACTACTTATAAGGCAGTAGGCAATAACTTTATACAATTACTTATGCCCAAAAAAATGACAGTTGCCATGGTAATATGGAATTTATATTCTTAATTAGAGCATTGTTGGATGTGATATAAAGTTAGTGAATTAATATTTCATTTGTTCATGATTGAAATCAGACTATTACTAACACTTGTGAAACTGGTTTGCTGAGCACTTTAGAAAAGTTGCGGGTAAATTGCAATAGCAATTCGAGCTAAGTAGCAAAGAAATAAATAAAATTGTAACTAAATGAAGGAGAACTAATAGAGTTCAAAAAGATATTATTTGGGTGGGTGCTAGACATAGAACAAACGCCAAGATTGAGGAGTTTAACGCATACCCTTAGGCAGATGATTGTGGGACAACTAATTATCAATATGAAGAGAAGCACAGATGCACTGAGCGTATGTAGAGAGAACAGAGTTGCATTCCCACGATGCATGCACAACTTGCAAATTTGGACTCTTGAAACATTCCCAAGTCTGGCTAATACATGGTTGTGCAATGTTATTAAAGGCAGATAAACTGTGATACCCAGAATAATGAAATGGGCTTTCAAAAAGAAGTCATCCTTGGAAGTCTTCTGCAAACTCATCTCTGATAATGTTAACGTAATTGAAACATATCCGCTTTCACATTTACATTTCCTTATTAAAATTATACTCCCTTCGGTTCTAATTCTTCTTTACACTCACTATTCATTGGTCAACCTAAGTCACTCTTAATCTTTTACTTTATATATCAATGTAGTTACCAAGGCCTCTCTTCCAGTTATTATGTTAAGGCATGCACCCTATGTTTAGTCCCTCTCTTTTATCTCATCGTGACTTTACTGCCTGTCTAATTATTTTGAGAGTTCCTCCTAAATAATTCAGTCAACACCTTTTGACTTATTATCTGTCTACTGCCAAAATATTGGGCTCCAATTTCCTTTGTCCATGTAGCTTGACTTCAATTATAGGGGGCTGCCTATAATAACCATTCAACTTCTTCTTTGAGAGTAAGGAGTGAAGACACCTTCCTTTCCTCTTGGTGAGTGAGAGTGTTTTTGAGTGAGCAGTGAGGTGTGTGTGGCATGAGATATAGAGAACCGAGAGTCTTTCTTCTTCCTTCCTCTTTGTGAGTAGAGAGAGACTTGAGAGCTAAACTTGGTGAGTGGTGGAGTGGCTAAACATCTTGGGGTGGTGTGTGTGAGTTGTTTTGGTTGGAGACCTGAGTTGAAATACACACCCAACATTTCTATATATATAAATTTTATTTACTAAAAATAATCTGAGTGTGAACATAGATCGAGTTGCTTTATTGTCAGTCAAACATTTTTTTCTAAGTGTAAAGGAGAATCAGAACTGGGGGAGTATGAAGAAATGTGTTATCATAAAATTGTATATTGCTTTACCTAGGACGTTTTGTGTTTACAATTTAAGTGGACAAGCATTGTGCCAATTCAACACGAGATAGAAAACATTCAAGGACTTGGTGAAGCAAGGATACTAGATGAAGAAATAGGTTTATTGGAGAGAATTGAAGTCAAGATAGAAGACACCAATATGAGTGAAAAAGTTGCATCAAAGGGAAAAGAAAAAAAGCAACAAAAAGAGAGTTGCAAAAAGCACAAGGACAACAATAAATAATGGGAAGTCTGATTAAAAAAGAGAGGAAATATCAGCAAAAAAAACAGAGCATAGTTATTTACAAGAAATGCTTCAAATAAAAACCATGAAGTTGGGAGCGTTGAGGACAATGAAGTTGAGACTTTCAAAAGGTGAGTGAAAAAGTTGTTGAAGATATGAGATCGACCATTAAAAGAAAATTTTAAGATTTTGGTAGATTTAAGAGAAATGAGGAAAAACCAAAACAAGTGGGTCATGTTCAACCAAATTTTTCATTTGGTAAAGTAACTTTCAAAGAATGTGCAGGAAGAATACTAAACTACTAAAGAAGAAAACAAGGCTTGCAGTGAATGCAAAAAGATACTCGAAATGTCATGGACAGAGGTTGGAGTTCAGAAAATGATTTTTTTACCATAAAAGTTTATAAACTAAAAAACTTTCAGAATTTTGAATCCCGCTCAAACTTGCGAAAGAACACTAAGAGAAATCCGATCGAGGCCGCCGAGTTTTGAATCTTGTTAAACTCTTTGGTGATGGAGTATATTGTAATATATCTCAGGGTATCAACATTCACGATAAAGGATTCCAGACTCCACTTAGAGAAATCCGGCCTCGACAGCCTCGACCGAGCTCAAAACCAGTTCTCAGATCACCGAGATAAGCCCAAAACTGTAGCCGAGGCCGACCTTCATTGAGGTTAGCGACATTTCCAGCACTACAGCCAAGCTCGAGGCCAACTACACACGTTTCACATTATGAGTCGAGGTTACTGGCCTCCTAGCTAACGCACTACATCCGAGCTAAACCTTCACAACCGAGTCCGGGACCTCGTGCAAAGATTGTGGACTTGGACATTTCAGTACTTGGATACCACAAACGTCCAGGTTTATGTCACTGTGTCACACCGGGTCACCGGTTACACATGCTAGCTTCCAGTTTACACGTGCGGCCTATCCAGGCATTCCAGTACGCAAGGACAAAATCCGATACTACAGTACCAATCAATTAGATAGTATCTCTACAATTAGCTTTACGTGTGTCAATAGATTAGTGGAGCAGTTAGTTTTACTTGTTCCCCAAGTATTTCGTTGTACACTATAAATATCATCTTTCAGCTTGTGAAAAGAGATCACATTCTACATTCTCAAGGTAACCTTTACTCTGTCAAATTTATTACTCGATCTAGACTTAGCATTTTTCCGACTCTCCCTTGATTTCAGCCTACCCCACGTCGGCGAAGCTATCACTTGGTATGAACAAAAACTAACAAAAAAAGGTTGGCTTGATAAAAATGAAATAACTTGCATAAAATTAGGAATGCCATGTAGACTGATTTATACGCCTACAATACTACTTTGAGTTCAAGCATTTACACTAGCATCAATTCTCCTTCCAGTACTAAAAGTTTTCTCATTTTGTGCATCCAAAAAAAATCATGCTAATTGAAAGTTGAAATGTTAAATTTATGGAGGCAAATGAATTGAATAATACAAAAGGTAGGAAACCCTTACCTTGCAACACTAAAAGTTTGTTAAAAATTTGCATTTGTTTGGGTATAGCTCTCATTAAAAAGAAATAATATTTATACTAATGCATTACAATTGCATTTGTTTAAACATTTCAAACATAATTAATACTCCATAATATGTTTAAATTGCATTTAAACATAATTAATACTCCATAATATCTTAGGGAAAAAATATTTATTTACTAATGCATTGAAATGCTATAATAAAAATATTATATAATTTGTCTCAAGTAAAATTTCAAAATGTAATTTTTTCTCATAACCAATTAAATATTAACGATTAAAGTCATATACGTATTGACAAGCGT